GAAAAATACGGCTGTTTGTATGGAATACAATATAATTAGTTTTCTTATACCCCGAGATTTAAGCTAGTATAACATTATATTATTATACGTTTCGATTATTATTACTCACAATATAAATTTTTAAATGATATGTATATACAACTAAAATTAAGAAAAAAAACGCATCATCCTAAATCTGATATAAACTATATAAATATAATTGTCTCTTCAGCCATATAATCTAAAACTAATTATTATTTATTTTTACCTCAGTATCTTCTATTATCCAAGGTTTCATTACATAATCTATTTGGTTGACAACGATAATTAAACACCATAACAATGAAATCGAGCGCGCTATGACCTATACACAAAACAAATAATTATTTGTAATGTATATTTTATAACTTTTTGAATAATTAATTATTATTATATTCTGATTGCTTAGCCGAAAACGTCCGTATCGGCGTGTGTGTGTGTGTAATAAATGTACAAATGATCCAATGAGTAAGGTTATTAGTTATGGGTTATGAAGAAAAAAAAAATAATATAAAATAATAATTTTTTACATTTCAAATTAATTTTGGGTTTTAATTACCTTATTTGTTTTTGGAGTGATTGTCATCCAAGTACCGAAAAGCAACGATATGTAATAAATAAATTTATAAACATAGCTTTCGATGAACACGTTGTTCATTTTAGATTCAATTCTACAAAATGCCAGTTTTTACATTTATAAATTAATAGATTGATTTTAAAATAAATATTGACTCAGGAAAAATATTTACTATAGTAGATATACCTACTTATTGTTAATGCAGAATGTAAAATAACATAAACGAAAAATAATATTTATTGTAGAATATACAACAAATGTTTATCGAATTATGGCATACATAAGAATTGAGTTATTTTTAGGCCGCAAGCTTTAATGAAAAGTTTTATAAATTGAACTAAACATTTACAAATATTAAAAAAGTTTAAAAAATTTACTATTATTTTATATTTCTACCTTCTATCCATATTTTATGTGCCTATGAAACATATTAGAAACAATGTTTCTATTTTATTTTTATTTTTCGAATGAATGTGGTTATTAATAAGTATTACTTATTATATTTACTTATTAAGTAATAACTAATAAAAATAAATTGAATTATTGATTATTATATAAACTATAACCAACGTGTATGAGATTACGAAATATATTCTTTTATAGTTCTATTGATAGACGATAGTTGTTTAGAAACTATAATACTATTAAATATAATAGGTATAAAATTTCATTTCATTTTTTGTATAGACGGTAGTCGGTAGATATATCATATCATCATAACATAATATACCTAGATTTTAAGTTTATAAATTAAATCGAGTAATTCAAGCGGGTAATTTTTATTTAAAATGTTTTCAAGGATTAATAAATGTATTAAATGAACGATTAGAATTTGTAATAATATAATATTTTAATTTTCGCAGATCGCAATCTACAGATTGGTCATCGGCCGGCAAATGTTGTTAAAGACAAAAAATTTAACTTCATCACCTGGGAACCATACTTTTGTGTTCTACTACAAGACGAACAGACATTAACTGCATATAGAAGCGAGGAATTATCCGTAAATATTTTTTATTTTATTACAATTCAAAAATTATGTTTAGACTCTTACTAACAATTTAAATTAAATTATGTATACAATAAATATAATATTATTTATCCGTTATACATTTTTAATACATTTCCTATTTTATTTCTTAGATATTCCCTGGGACTGCGCTAAGGACAATAACGCACGCTTTTAAGGTTGGTGCTTATGGAAATAATAGAATGTATCTATAGTTTTCATTTTAAGATACCTAGTCAGAGATAAATAAATAAATATGTTTACAAAATATTTAAATAAATCAATAATTAATAATTAGGACTAGGGTTTATATGCATTTTTAATTGATGTGATTATTTTTTATTTCGCAACGTCTTCTTAAAAATTTGGTTAGAATCGTCTATACAAATAAAAATTCTCTATTATTTTATTTCGTATATTTTTGAACATTTTAAGTAAGTACTATGTATTTAGCATGTGCTGAGGTGATTTTAAGGTTTATTTTCAAGAGGAAATCGGAGTGAATTTTTTCCTATTTTCAAGAAAAAAATCTGACTATAAAATATATTTAATATAATAATTATAAAAATTTGTATTTTTTAAATCAGTATTTTTATGTAAGCAATTCTTATGAGGAACATTACATTCAACTTTCAAATCTAATTCATATTATTAAAAATTATAACTGTTCATGAAAATAGATAAATGGTTGGATGCCACATATCATGTTACACTCCTAATTTTAAATTCATAATATTAGTAATTTTGTCTTTGGACGAATAAAATGTATAACTTTATTAAAAATATTATGGATTTATTTTAAAGTAATACCAACAAAAATTATTTAATTTACATTTAAAGTAATTTTATTCGATTTATTTTATAATTATAAGTTGTCTGAGTATTGCTTCTATGTTACTCATTCATACATAGTATAGAAATAATTGGTAAATCAATTATAATTCAATTATAATTTTACAGTATATTTAAAAAAATGAAAAGCATAAATATATTTTTATGTTATATCGCATATAAATTCTAGGCCGTTAATAACGTAAAATTAGCGTATTACTATGAAATCGCATTCTCAAAATTTAAAGTAAACATAAATAATCTCTGACTATCTATATAGTATGTAATTGTCTGTGTGGAAGTGTTTTATTTTATTGTAGCTATTAAAATTGCTTGTGCTTCTAATAATTAAACAATTATATTTTTTTAAATATGTTATGCTTACATAATAATTATTTTCTGATTCTAGTGATTTACATTTAACATTTAACGTAGGTATAGATTGGAGACATTAAGTATATTTGTATATTTTTTATTTGATACAAAAAATTATATTTTACATGCATATAATGATAGTATATACTACACCAAGTATTTATTATAAACGATTACATAGAAGTTATTAAAAAAAAACACAAAAAAACACAAAAAATACAAACAATATAATACGAATAGAATAATAGATACAAGTTTGATTATAAGGCAATTACTCATGATCCAATAATACGTATAAATATTTATTGTCTTTATTGTTTCCGTTTTAGTTTATCAAATGAACAAACAATTATATAAATCCATAAAATTAAAACAAATTGTACTATTATATAAACTGAAAGTGAACATGGTAAAATAACTTAAACATCATAAAAAGTTCATTACAAGTATACACATTTTGGTGAATTTTTAAACATTTATGATTATTCGGCATTAACAAAGCATGCTAATGTAGATACATATTGGGTCATGTAACGACCGAAATTTTTTAATAGATAATGCTTAATTGTGGTACATTGGTATAAAAGTTTATCTTATTAAGTGCATTGATTTATTCATAGAACAAATCATAATTTTTAGTGCCTACTTGAAAAAGCTCAAATATGGTACTGTAGCTATATTGTATTATTGTCTTTAAAAAGAAGACACTTTATAAGTTTCAATTGTGTATAAAAATTGTGATCTTACTTATAATTCAGAGTCGGAGTATATTTTACAGATTGTCTTAAAAGATAGCGAAATTGAGACAAATATAAACCATAACAGTTAAGAAGTACACAGTTTTATTTTGAAAATAATTTTCATAAATGTATTTGTTCATTTTATGAACACACGATAATTATTTTTGTATTTTTTAATTAATATTATAGTTGGTTTTAAAAGCACATTAGTATTTCATATATAAATTATTTACCAATTGTTAATTTTTATCAATAATGATAAATTATTATTTAACGAACAAATAAATTCAAATCACAGAATAGAAGGTAGGTATGTTTTATACTTTTATTTATCTATTTCTATTTTTATAATAATGTGTGTTTTACAAATGACATTATTTTTGAATAGCATTTTATTTTTATAACTCTGTGCTTTGTAGACTTTAAGAATTAAGAAATAACTTAGGATCAACTGTATAGAAAACTATATTATTTTAATTATTTTGACACTTTTAGATTTGTAAGTAAAAATTATGTGACTCGCAGACTATAACAGTGGCATTTTAATCTTAATCTTCTGTTTCTTAGTACCTAATTACCTTCAAACAAAAGAACAATTTTATCATTTACTGAGTAGACTACAGTCAAACATATTGTTTTGATCAATTTATAGGTATCAATTTTTGAATAATTATTATTTATTATACCTATTTAAATATATTTTAATTTCATTTTCTCAATAACTCAATTAGATTGTTCAACAACAAATTAAGTATTTTTATTATTTAATATTGTTTTAAGTGTATGTACCATCGTATATTTGTATTTATACTCAATCGTTTCTAATATTACTGTTAAAATATTTAATATCAGTGAAAACAATTATTGTAAATATTGCTTTATTTTTCTTAGATCATAAAACAATCGTGAATTCGTGAAATTGCATTTTTTAAATCCATAGAAATTATGATAAGTATAATACTAATTAGTGGGGCTTTTAAATTTTAATATTATTACGAATTATAATAAATGATAAAGATAATTTATTTCGTGGTAGTATAAAATATTATACTCTAACCATGGCTTATCTTTCCTTTTAAACTCAAAATTATACAAACGAATTGCCTGATCGGGTAAAAATTAATTTGTTAATGAATAAAAAACGCCGCAAAAACAAAACTAATCGTAATAAAATATAATGCAATGTTTATCAATAATAGACTGGTTAACGTAATACCACCATTCATCATCTCTAAAAACTATTCAAGATCCCGATTTGCTATCATTTCTAGAACGAACATCATGTAAAAGAGCATGTAATGTACTTACAAGCGATCGAGATTGTAATTTTACGAATTCATCAATCTCCCGATCAAGGGTCATCGAGATTAATATTATGTATTTTATCACACAAATATTATTTTCAGCATTATTTAAACTATTTAAATGTTGTAAGCTACTGTGGTTATAGATCAGTTGATATAATACTACCAGCCTGTTATGATCTATTGGATAATACCGACAAGACAACCGTATACTATTACCGTTTTGAAGTAACTGTTTTGAGGTAAGTCTAATATTATTAAATTATTATTATTTTTTAATAAGTTGCTCTAAAATATTTTTAATTTTCATTGGAAGTTAATTAAAATTATTTCATTAAGCATTAGTTTAGCAATCATTTTCTGCAAATAAATTATTTATTAAATTTAATAATATTGCTTTATTAAATTTTTGCTATATCTTTGTAGTAAAAATGTTTACAAAATGTATCTATTATGGAACAAACAAGATCGTTTTCAAGAAAATGTTGCTAAATTTTAAACAATTTCTAAAGTTTTTGTTTTTATTTTCATTAAGATATAGACCGAGGCTCAAAAATATAGAAAGTATATAATGCATATTATAATATAGATTACACATTTGATAATACCTTAATTAAAATAAATTAATAATAATTGATCTGTTGGTAAATAGTTAATAAATAATTGATGGTGAGGTGTTCATTAACGAGAAAATCAAGATGACAGAATAAGGTAGTTAAATAGATAGTTTTTAAAAAGGCTTAGATATCAAAATTAATGTCACTACATACTGTGCATGGGATAATTAATGTACACAATAATATGGATATTACTAAAAAACATTAATGTATCACTATGCACGTACACAAATGTGTGTAGTGGTAAATTATGATAAAATACATGATGTTTATTAAAATCTTTTTTTTAACTCGATATTTTTATTATTAATTATTAGTTCTTAATAAATAAATTTGATGATTTTTATATCAATGAATTGTATTCAAAATTTAAAATGAAGGGGATTCAAATTGTTTTTAAGATTCTGTTTTTTATGATAAATTTTATCTTGCATATCTTATATAATAATTAAATTCATAATTTTTATGTAACATTTATTTTTCAAAAATATTAGTTAATTTATTTATTTTCAATTAAATTTTTATACTTTTAATATTTTACGTGTATTATAATATATAATATATATCTACATATTTTTGACACTACTTTTTAAACTTATTTAATGGTTTTTTTTTTTATTATATTAATTTTTTGTAATTTCTAATTTCTATTTTTTAATTTTTGAGCACATAAATGAATGCATTTTTCGTGGATTTTTAGTGCATTAAATTGAACTCTGTTTATCAGATGTTATTTAGTAAACGCTTAATATTTAATAACGTAAAAAAATATAACTTATATAGAACAATTTGTGCAATAAATTATTATCTTTTATTGCAGTAATTTTACGACATTTTGGTAAAAAACTGTTCTCAGAAAATTTATTTGCTTTACTCAATCAGCATTCCCTTATATTTGGCTTATAAGCTAATAAAATAGATAACAATTGTTTTATGATAATTTTTTTTTCTTAAACCTCCAAAACTTTATTATTTACAAGTTATTGACTAATTAAGAATGCTAATCGTTCTAATCAAATTATCCAAATAAGCAAAATATTTTAATTCATATCAATATCTGATATGTGATACATACAAGATGGTATATTGGGAAAATAAAATAAAAAATAATGTATTAATTAAGTATTTATTTTTTATTTTATTAAACTACCATTGCAAAAATAAAAATATTTATGAATATGTTATAAAATATATACAAATATTAAGAAGAAAGAAAATTGAAAATTGATTATTTTTATTATTTATTAACATTTTATATAGTTTAATATTAAATAATTGATATTTTTTTAAACTAAAATAGAATTATTAGTACCATTACAGATGAAAAATGTAATATGATTATTAAGTAATTCAAAACTCAAAACGCACACTTTTGATTATTAAATTTTTTTATCACACATCATACATATGTAATAAAATTATATTGATTTATTTTAGTGTTGTATGTAAATAGAAATTTACCATACTGTAAGACTATTATTAGTATTTAGTAAAATAATAAAAATGTTAACTAATAATTTATTATCTAAATGTAAATTCTTTATGCTAGGTACATTAAGTAATATCTATACCAAATTCTTAATAACTAAATGAGTAATAGTTAATATTTTTTTTTCCCACAATTAGATTAACTCGTAATAATGCATATTTTAATCACTTCGTGTCTGTTAATTGTTTGCGGAATTGTTGATGCAACTTTTTATCTCCAAAGAGGCCAGCCATTTAAACAGGTAATTGTAAACATAGAACAGAATTAAATAGACCCAGACATTAAATACATTCATCATAATTTTGTATCTGTTTTCATCAATTTTAGTTGAACCAAAGGCGACAGAGATCTTTAGGATTACCATATCCTTATGGATATAATTACGTAAGTCTTATTTTCTATTTAAATTGACCTATGATTAAATTTAAAGTAATTTGTTCGTTAATAAAGTGTAATACTAAAAAAAAAAATACTAATTTCATCAATTTCAAGGCGCAAAAAGTTGTATTTTAACTTTAACGGGTTGTAGAATACATATTTATTAGTCATTCAATGTTTATTACATTCATGTTAATTTCATTTCAGAATCCAATAGAGCCATCAATTGATATCTCGGATAGTTCAAGCGAGACATTCGATTCCAAAATTAACTCGTACAAACCAATACACCAGTATGTCAAAATGTCTACCCATGATACGAATTCGGTTCCAAGAACTTATTCTTATCCAATGAATCCTTTCTACGATTCCGAGTACACTCCTATACAGAACATCCCTAAGTTAATGCCAGAAGATACCTATGATTACAAATACATCTCTGAACCATGGAACAAATATCTAACACAGTCATTAACACCAGGAAGTGACAATGCCATTGACTTATTGTCTATCAGAAAACAATCTGCCTTCAGCTTCGGATTTCCAACTTACAAATTTCCAGACACATTGGAATCTGTGTTAAACTTTGATCCAAAAATTCTAAGTTCCTTCTCCGCAAATTCTCAGTCAGAAGAAATGGATCCAGAGATTTCAAAAATACCATCTCCTACAGTAATAATAGTAAAATTATTACCTGAAAAGAGTGAAAAGTCTGCAGAACAAGAATCGACCGCCATGATAACAGAAAATCCCTATAATATTAAAAATTACTTCTTAAAACTATTGACAAAAAAACTAATTTTTACACAAAAACCAGTTAAAGATGAATCGATTTATGCTGAAGAAACCCCGACTGAAAACGATTCGAACTCTATGGTGTTTGAAGACAACCCGACAGAAGACGAATCGAATGCTATTACAACTGAAGACGAATCGAATGCTAT